TGTTGGTTCCTGCTGCAGTCTTTCAGGTCTAATTCCAGCAAACTCCAACAAACCCCCAACTCCTTTACACGAATTCCCAACATTTCGGACGAACACTAAAGTGTTTCCAGAAAGAATCCCATTCAATGACTTGGCTCCAAGCTGCCTCCCAAGTCTAGGAGGGATTTCCCCTGTAAGCTTATTGCTGTTTAAATCCATCCAAACTAAAGTGCTGCAGTTTGCCAACTCTCCTGGTATCTGACCACTTAAGCTATTGTTCCCGAGTTGCAGCACAGCTAGCCTTGACAAAAGACCAAACTCTTTTGGGACTTCACCATTGAGTTCATTACTAGTGAGTGAAACCCATTCAAGATTGCTACAACTGAACAATTCAGTGGGGATTTCGCCACTTAAACGATTATTATTCAGTATAAGATCCTTCAAGCTTCTACACTTCCCTAATTCTGGTGGGATTTTCCCTTCTAAGCTATTGAACCATGCTATCAACTGTTCAAGATTCTGAAGCCTTCCAAGTTCTGCAGGTATGGAGCCATTCAAATAGTTTAGACTAAAATCAATTGTCTTTAACTGTGAACACAACGAGAGTTCTGGTGGGATTCCTCCTATGATGAGATTGTCTGGCATTTTCAGTTCCTGGAGTGATTCAGCTCCTGGGCATATATCTGGTGGGATTAAACCAGAAATTCTATTGGAACTTAAGTCCACAAGCTGAAGTTTCTTGCAGTGAGATATGGATGAAGGCAATGATCCAGAGATTATGTTATTACTCAATAACAAGCTCTGTAAAGAGTCAAGATTCTTGAAGATGGCATCTGGTAAAGGACCAGATATGTTGTTGTTTGAAAGATCCAGAATCTGAAGGGAAGAACAAGCAGAGAAGGAAGCAGGAATTACACCAGAAATGTTGTTGTAACAAAGCTTTAGTTCTTGAAGTGAATTGCAGGCATTTCTCCAATCAAAAGGGAGCCAACCAGTGAGCTGGTTATGAGATAGATCCACCCTTTGTAAACTACTGAGTTTCCCTATAGATCCTGGGATTTCCCCACTGAGAGAATTGTATGACAAACCAAGTGTTTGCAGATTCGTGCAGTTCGAAATCGAACTCGGAATTGAACCAACGATTTGATTAGCTGAAAGTTCAACTCGAAACAAAGAATTGCAAGAATTCTCATGAATTCTCAATCCTGAGATGGACCCTGTTAGATTGTTGTAAGAGAGATCAAGATCTTGAAGCTTATTAGCATTGAACAGAAGATTTTCAGGCAGAGAGGCAGTCAAGTTGTTGAATGAAAGATCCACAAACACAAGATTTGGACAGCTTGAGAAAAGATTATCAGGCACACGACCTACAACTTTGGCAAGAGAGAGTTCAAGTTGCTGCAAATTATAAGGAAGTTGAAGCAAAGTGGTTGAGTTTATAGTGAAAGAATTTGTAGACAAGTTCAAAGACAACAACATATCCATAGAAGACAGAGGATCAAAATAAACATTCCCTGCAAGATTACAGCCGCTCAGATCAAGAGCAACCGCTCGTCCAGATTGGCATGAAACTCCATACCAAGAACACGGATCGTTTTCAAGCTTCCAATTGGTCAATACTCCATTTGGGTCCTTGTCAATCAAATCCCTGAACTTAAGAAGAGCTGCAGCATCAGTTCTTATTGAATTCACGTTCTGTTGCTCTGCTGATGAAGCCAAATCAAAGAAGATAAAGATCAGTGGCAAAGCAAGAGGAAGAAGTGAAAGGTGAAAGACGGTTGTTTCCATTGAATGAAGTAAAATGGTTGTTTTCTTCAGTGGAAAACACAAGACAGAGATGAGAAACAGTGTTGCAGAAAGGAGGAAAGAAGAAGAGGGGAAAGTTAAGGAAAGTAGTGAAGGTTTGTGGAGATCATGATGAGAAGGAAAGGGGAAGCTTTAGAAAAAAGAAGGAAGCTGTTTGCTTTAGTGATTGATGTGTGAGTTTTTTTTTGCAAAATGAAGAGGGAAAAGTGGAAATAGAATATGAAAAAGAAGAGAAGAACTGAGAAGGAAGGAAGGAAGCAAGGAAGTTGGTGAGTGAATTGCTGTTGTTATACGGCTTCTGTAGTACAAATGAAACCGTATCTATATGGTTTTGGTCAAAAGAAATAGGACCCCACAGACAAAGGGTCTATCTTGATTCTTAAATCTTAGGATCGGCGCCTTCTATAAAGCTCAAAAGACTCAGTTTATGCCATAAAAGGGACACAGAGACGAGTGGATGATCCAAGAGGTCAGCTGTGTCAGTGAGGCGTGAGAAGGGAATGTCTGAAACAATCTTAAAGAAAGGGAATAGGATCTCTATCATATCTATCATATCATAAGTCGGTTGGAGGGGGGAATGGAGCATACTGTACAACGGTGTGGAAACCTCTCTCTAGCAGACGTGTTTTAGAATCGTGAAGCTGAACAGACGAAAACAGACTTGGACCGTTACAAAACTAGTTTGTATATTAGGGTATCAGAGTTTAAAGTTGGGTGTATTTGTAGGGAAGTCCTTGGAGTGATATGATACTCATATTGAGCCCACAAAGGCCTATGCCTCTCTAAGCCTCTACTTCAGTTTTTTTAATCTGTTAGAGAGAAAGAGAGGGAAAGAAAGGGGTTTAAAGAAGAAGGTGGTGGTGGTGCACAGTGGGCCCAAATGCTGAAATTTTGGGGGAATCAATGATACACAGTAGTGTAAAAAGAAAAGAAAAGAAATGAGAAAAGGATGATAGAATAAACAAATGAAAGGCCCCACCAAGGAACAACATGAATGCAGGCAGTGGCAATGGTATGGGGAGCTAATCATGCTTTCAATTGCTCCCTTGCCTTCCCTCTTCGTTCTTTTCCCTTCAACAACAATTCACTTCAAACTCGAAAAAAAAAAAATGAAATTAAGCCCCTCCCTCGTTTATTTAAAAAATACTTTTATTCTTTCGAAAGTTGTAATATATATATTTTATAAAGTATAAATTTTTAGAATTTTTCTAATTTTCTAGCTACGAACAACAAGAGTAAGTTGTTAGTACATGCACGTTATGATTTTTTTTTTTTTTTTTGTTTCTATAATTCAATGAAATATTTATCTAAAAGGTGATCCTTTCGAGAAAGTTTAAAATATTTAGTTGGGATCTCGTGGAAAAGCTTCAAATCATGAGAGATTTACACCCAAAATCTCATAATTAATAATTTATTTTTTAGTACTTAACCATGATTTAGATCATTTTATTTGCAATACAATATTATCTTTTGTATTACAAGTTTAAAGAAGTTATAGTGTTATCTTGAGTAGTATGCAGAAGATATACGAGAGGATCATATTGAAAGGTTTATAACAAGTAGATAAGGTTGGATGTGTTATCCTAGTAACACTATTCATCTAACTCACTTTATAATTATTACAAATGATTTGATTCAAATCGTTCATAGAGATGCATGTGATGAGAATATTCTATATAATGAGTTTATATGAAATATGAAGATGAAGATGGTGCTCCTTTTAATCATCATTTTTATTTTTATTTTTTTCTTCATAAACCAAAAAATAAAATAAAATAAAATATAACTTTTACGTAAAAAGGGAAAAGAATGGATTTGGATAAGATATGGCTTGTAATTGTTTTGGGGACTCCAAGGTTTTTGCAAGGAAACCATCAGGCCGTTAGATTGGGAACACGTGGGAGAGGTTAAAAAAGGAGGATAGATCAGACGGTGGCGATGTAGTTGCAAATTTGAGTCTTGTAATGCGAATTTTAAGGAAAAATAAATAAATAATGGTTGTCGTGAATGGCACGCTAAGGCCCAATTCTGATGAGATTTTTGCACACAATCCAAATAAATGATTGGTGATGATCCCTATATCCAAACACCCCCCATTTTGTTCTCTTTTTTATTTATTTATTTATTATTATTATTATCTAAAATTAAAAATATATATATTAAATGAAAAATAGCAAGGGGGACTTTCCAAATGATGAAGAGTGCGTCTATAAGTTTGACTATGAAAGTGAGTGGTTCAGTTAATAATTGCATAATTTGAATTTGGACGGCGATAGTACTAAAAATTATCCACTTAAAAATTACTCTCCAACTTTATTAGAATATAGTAAATTTATGATCTAAATATTCATGTAAGTTCAACACCGAGATAACATTCATCCTTATTTTTAACACAGACAAAAAGTATTAAAATAGATATGTATTTCACACTCTCATCGAAGGGTTGTTTCGTAATTCTCATAATAATATAAATATAATTTTCATCCAAATTGCTCATATCGAGTCATGATTATACATATTCTAGCATGGTCTAGCGATCTCTCCAAATATTACTTGAAAAAAGTCTAAATGGTTACATACTTAGGCGATGCGTGCTTTCCCAACCTAACTTTTTTTTTTTGTGTTTCGAATTTTCTTATACGTGTTATGGGTGAGGTATTCAGAAACAATGTTTAATGTTTAAAGCTCAAATTCTTGTTAGATGTTTATTGTTTTAATAAAGAAATATTTTTTTGAAATAATTTTCACACAAAAAGAAATTGTTTGAAATAAATTTCAATCTTGAAAAATAAAAATAATTCAGGCGACAAATTAATGACCTAAGTTTCTACTAAATATTATTATTTAAATTAGTGTAAATTCTTTTATATTGGATTTAAATAATTAAAAAGGTGAAAAGAAAATTGCATGCTTTTTCATCATGACTTTCTCCACCACCCATACCCCACTCCAATTTTAAATTACACTTATCCCCAAACCATTTATTTTTCTTTCATAGCCAAACATTGATTAAAATATATAATATCTAAACAATTTTCTCAAATTAAATATTATTCACTAATATTCATAATAACAATGCTATTTTAAATCTTTTATTCACTTCTACGTAAACATTTTTATATTATTTAAAATTTAAAATCATATACATAAATTAAAATATCAAGAATTTATTAGAAATTTGTGAAATTAAGAAAGAATTTAAGCATAGAATCGGGTGCAACCATGGGGCCCGTGGGGCTGTGGCACTTGTTTTATTACAATAAAGAATAACAAATAGGTTTGTATATTCAGCACATATGGTGCTTCTCTACATGAATAAATAATATGGATATCAGCAGAACTGATATCCTTCCGTCCAGAAAATGGAAAAAAAAAACAGAACAAAGATTGATTAGGATTCAGTAGCAACCAAAATCTGTCGAAGTTTTGGAATCTGAAAAAGAACCCAGAATGGAATGGAATGGAATGGAATGGAATGGAGGTAACATTCAGTAACCTGTACCTAACTCCTACCCAACATAAGAAGAGAGACTTTAACTAAGAAACACAGGGATGAAAGTGAACCAACGTGTTCTCTTCCTCCCTCCCCAGCAAAAAAAATGAAAGAAAAGGAGACCAAATCTGTCTGTCTGCTACTCGCATTTGATCGACCGGTAGATGTGACGAACAAAGAACAGGGCTGCACGGAAGCCTACCGTTCCGAGCATCAGAAAGAATCCATAGCAGATGCAAGCCATGTACCCGAAAAAGAATGAAGTTTGCATGAAACCTGACATGTCTGAGCGCGCATAATAATAGTACAGGCAGTAACCATAGATGAACAGACCAGTTGAGCCACCACAAAGGAAAGATCTGAGACCACATCAACAATACATACATTTTAGGCCAAAGGAGTAGGTGAATCATTAAGATCTTCAAGTATATGATAAGAAACGGAAGAAATGTATGTGTAAATGAGAGGAAGAGGTGCGTATCAATGAATGAGTGCTAGAAATAACATTGGAAGGGATGAAAGAATATTTGTGTACCTCCACCACCATTCATGATCTTCAGCGGTCAGTTGAAAGTAGGTCAAAGCCACAGTAATGAAAGCAGTAACTATCAGAAGGATGATGAAGACAATAAACAGAATACTGTAAATTGTGTATATCTTGTGACCCCAGACACTAGCAAATATGTAGTAAAGCTCAATGTATATAGCACTGAAGGGGAGAAACCCTGCCATTGCCATCTGAGGAACAGTGCTCCTATACCAAGGTAGCTGTGGAATCTCTCGAGGATACTTCGTGGTGCGACATGGAGCCTGAAATTCGATCCTGCTATTTTTTCCTGCTATACCACCCAAAACAAGCAATGGTGATGTTACCAATGTCCATATGAGGACTATCACCACAATTGTGCCAAAGGGAAGTGCAGCGGTAGCCTTGTAAACAATAGCCACAGTGTTAAGAAAGCAGAATGTGAAGAACAGAGGTCCACAGAAGAGGCAGCCCGTAAGCAATAGATTCCTCACCTTTCAAACAGAAGGGAAAACAAGACATCAGATCATTCTATATGCTGGTAAGTTATATTTTGTGAAAACATAGAATCATCTCCACATACCCAGTTTGATCCTTCAAGTTGGCAATAGAATGAGGCTGATGTATATCCTGCAATCCCCGATGTGAGAGCGTATATGACCACCAGGGCCGTGAACAAAGCTCCTCGGTTGTATGGATAAAACACTCCAACTAGTGCCAACATAAAGATAAAAACTGTGCTGAAAAATGAAAATAATAGGAGAAAATATGAGCCTCAGCTTGTAAGTGTAACATGAATTTTGCACAAATGAGAGGATAAGCTTCTTACAGGGTAAACAACTGCGTGCCAGAGCCAAGGGCTGCAGCAAATAACGATTTGTGTTTTGGGAATCGAAAGATGTCGCCGTGGATGTATTTCCAACCAGTTTCTTCTTGATCATCAGCTGCCTCCTCGTCTTGTGCATACCTGAAGTTATAAAAATTTAGCAGATTCCAGAAGGTTACAAATATTTACTCAAGAGATGAACTTGTAAATCTTACTTCATAAAGTCATTCTTCAAGACACGCATCAAAATAGTGGCAAGAAAACCGGTCAAAAGAAGAACTGTTACACATGAATTAATAATCGAAAACCAGTGAATTTCCAAGTGATGTGGTAACGAAGAGGATTGCGAGTACTTATCCATCCTCTTCTCGAAGGGAGTATCTGTTTCCCTCCACTTCACAGTATACATGAACTCTACATCAACGTCCTTGTCCTCGGTCAGATCCACTACAGAATGAGGATCCATTCGAGCGCTAATTTCGATCACACGGTCTCTATTGTAGGAAATATCAAATTGGATGTGCTTGAATAGGAAATATTTATATTCACTTGGATCATCCCTGCCTTCCCTATCAACCTTTCCAATGAAACCCCAGATGGGCAAGTCATCATAATACATCTGAAAGTAATAATCTTTCTTCACTGCAGCTCGAAATTGAGCAACTTGGTCCTTTGTTAACTTGCTTTTACAAGCAACTTCTATATCTTTCTCTCTTTTATAATCAAGCTTGTAGGGAGCACTAACAAGACGGTCTCCGTTCAACACCTCACCAAGAGCTTCCTTTTTCTCTTTTACATCACCTGCCATTGTTACATGCCATTTATGAACAGAAACTGAACAATTATTTACAAGTACTGCATTCAAGCATGTAGCGATTACTTCTCGAGTCCATCGGACCAATATATGTAGGCATACATATACCACTTGGGCTGAGACTGAGATAGAATAAGCTATTCACTTGCAATGATACAGGTTTTTTTAATCAAATTATCTAATAGATCTTTGGAAATGGGCAAACCAAATGCTTAAAAAGATATCTACGAAGCAAGTTTTCTTTGTTATTTTCCTGGAAAATGATATGATAGAGAGGGTGCAAAAAAACATTAAGAGAAAGCAACTGGAAAATCATCCGACTGTCCAAACATTCGGTAGATGGTGGAAAACACAGTTTTTGGGCACCACCCCATCATAGCGACTTAGAGAACATATATATATATATATATAGTATCTAAAACAAAGGCTTCCCCACACAAACAGGTTGTAGTAAAGTACAAGATAACCACACGTTAGCATTGGATCAAGATTCGAGCATGCAATATCACGCAAGGAAAGGAGAAAACCTGGTGAGCAGAAGGGCAGATCAAAGTACCGGTAGGTTTCACTGGAATGACACAGAAAACAAAAAGAAGATCAGCAAAATAAACATCTCAAACACAAATAATCTAATCAGATTAAAACAACCATACTAAACAATCTAATCTAATCTAATCTAATCTAATCTAATCTAATCTAATCTAATCAGTGTGGAGACTCGTAAGACTCACAACACTGAAACTGAATCCTCGACAGCAATTGGGCGTATTTCAATTTCCCGAATCCAAATTCGTATAACCTCAACAATTCAGATGTCACATTAAAGAAAATCATTTGAATTCAACAAAAAGAAATCGAAATAGAGAGACAGGACAGGCCCTGGTGCAATCAAAATCAAATCAAAGCACGTGAACGAATGCATGGGATAGTGAAACAAGAAACGAAATGGACAGAAACAACCAAAATCGACAACAAGAATAGAAGATGGATTAGAGAAATTAGATAGGGTCAGATTGAATTAGAGATCGAAAATGGAAGAAGAGCGAGACGGAATAAATAATACCTGGGATTGTGAAATGGGCCGACCTTGTTGGCGTAAAGAGGAACAGAGTCGCCTTCGCTGTAGCGGTGATCGGAGGCATCAGAGGCCACCAGGGTGGGAGAGATGGCGATCCAGAAAAGGGTGAAGAGCAGAGAAATCTTCATGCTCCGATACGGAGGGAAATGGGAGAGGGGGAAGAGAAGGCGCAAGAGAATAAACAAATTGGGATAAATAGATAGGAAGGGGTTTGATTTCACCGTCTTGTTTGAGTTTCGGTTTGAAGAGATTCTATGTGGTGGGGACCACTGCAAAGTATAACGCCCACGTGGCACTTCTTTAAGGTCACTTTTGTCGCTCACCTTCCCAATTGGATCTTCCAAATTATTTTCTTTCCTTTTTTTTTCTTTGCCATCCATTGCGCTCCAAAAAAACCCACATTTTTTGGATTTATTATTTTCCTTTTTTTTTTTTTACCTCTTTTTAATAAGTGGTCAATTCAAATTAATTTATACATAATTCTATTTTGAGTATAGTTAATCAATTAATTAACATGGCATTAATTTAACAGAATTAATATAACTATTTGTTTAATTTAATAAATCAATAATATTTACTGAAAAGATTAATCAATTAACTACCAATATCTGATATTTAGTTAGTTAATTAGGATCAAGATCACTTTAATTAAGTTAGTATACATTTTTATTTTTTAAATAATTATAACTATTTGTTTATTGATTATTTATAATGAAATAATTGTTTTTTTGGGATTAATTGGGCTTAGATCATTCATTATAACATAACATAATTTTAAAACATTTTTCCAATATTTGTTATTGACCTATCATATTTTCTTCTATTTTTCTTACTTCATTTTCTTTTTATTAAAAGTATACTTCTTTATATATATTAAACTATAATTAATTAAAATTAGGCATCCTTTTATAACAAATAATAATCATAGATTTATTTTATTCATATTTATTAATAAAAATATATTTTTGTGAATCTGCCACTTTTTTTTTTATTAAATGATGCAATATTCTTATTTTGAGTTGGCATGTTATTAAGTTTTGTGTATGTCTTTATAATATTTATTATATAGTATAAATGTTCAGTTTATATAATTTTATTAAATTTAAGATTATTATTTAATAGACTTATATTATTCCTAATATATTTAATAAGGAATGAAAATAAATTAAAATTATTTTAATAATATGATTTAACAAAAAAAATAAATTAAGTAGCAACAAATGACTTAATAAAAATAAATTAATTGACGTGATAATTTTTTTTTGGTATAACCAAACATAAATATTATTTATTTATAAAAAATTTGATAACATTTTCATGCAATATCAGACAGGTTTTTTTTCTTTTTTTTTTTTTTAAGCATTTTATATCCGACATTTTAAATAAGACGATATTTGAAAATTTAAGAAAATAAGTTTAAAATGTTTAAATTTAGGTTTAGAAAATATGAAAATAGAATTTAATTTTAAAATATTAAAGTAATATTACTCTTATTAATTAATTATCTTATGGCGTTTTTTAATGAAATGCATTAGGGGAGATTTAAATATTTCTTCACTTTTTTTTTTTTTTTTTTTTTTTTTTTTTTTTTTTTTTTTTTTTTTTTTTTTTTTTTTTTTTTTTTTTTTTTT